TATTCTCAGGTAATCAATAGAAATTGGTGACCACCAGCTTTTGAGGATGGAACACTTCGGCGTTAATCAAAATATTTTGTCATTATATTGTAATTGATTTTGGAACATGTAACTTGTGAAATCATTTAACTTTCTCGATTATATTTATAATGATTGTATTTGCTTTGAGCTCTATTATACTTGTTTTTATGATACTATACATGAAGTCCTCCACCCTCGGACGTTTACGCCATCCTTGGTTTGGGGGTGTGACAGAATACAAGTTATTTTGTGTAGATCTATGTGTGTATGCATGATTTTGTGTGTTTTATTTAGTTACATATGTTTTATGTGTTATAAACTTCATGAACTAAAAGATCTACTAAAATATGATGATATTGGTATAACATAACACTTATTTCAACTTACCTTACAAGAAAAAGGTTTAAAATACATTTAGGTTACTTAGATCAAAGAAAAACTTCATGAAAGGGGCTAAAATTGACAAAACGACAAAGTATGAGTTATTTATGTAACTCACGGCTAGTAAGGGGTTCAAAAGGAAATTTTTGCTTAACATGGCTAATCTCGATATTTGAGACCTTATAGGTACCAAAAATGTAAATATTTTCATAAATGGGCCTTATTTTGGATTCTCACGGTTTTGGGCCCAAAAATTGTAGTTTTTGATCTTTTGTGGACTTAATTGTCATTTTTAAGAAAGTTGTGTCAAAAATGTAAATTTTTGATAAAAAGGGTCAAAGTTGTGAAATTATGAAAATTTGGGGCAAAAAGATGAAATTTCTATAATGGGCCGAAAATGTATATTTTCACAAAAACCAAGCCAAAAATGATAGTTTTGAAAAAAATGAGTTGAAAATGTTATTTTTACAAATACTAGTCTTAAATACAAGTTTTGTCCAAAATGGGGCCTAAAATGTTATTTTTACTAAAATTGGGCCTTAAAATGAAAATTTTGGCTTAATGGGCCAAGAATATCAATTTTTACAAAAAGTTGGTTTTTTATGTCATTTTAGTAAATAATTGATCTACTACTAGCAAAATAATAACAAAGCAGACTAATTTTGTCATTCTCATGTTATTGGGTCTTAGTGGCCCATTTATATGCTTGATAGGTCCTGAATACTATTTATATGTTTATTGGGCCTCATTGACCCATTAATATGCGTGACGAACCTTGGGTACTATTTGCGTGCTATTTGGGCCTGTAAATACCTTACATGTGAAATGGGCCTTAGTGACCTTTTACATATATTTTGGGTCCATGTTATATAATCTCATTCCTTTCGGGCCTGAAAATGACTTACATGTTTAGTGAGCCTCAGTGGTTCGCTTACATGGTTTAATGGGCCTGGAATGAGTTTTATATGTTTCTCTTCCTGTAAATTCGATTAAGGATTTATGGTTCAATGGGGTTGGAATGAGTTTTATATGTTTCTCTTCACGTAAATTCGATTAAGGATCTAGTGGGACATGTCTGTTGACACCTATTGAGTGTACGATCATAGCCTATAGTTATAACCAGAGTCTCTTGGAGGGAGAGCGGGGGTTTGTGTATAGATCTATACGGGGATGACACCCCACACATGAGCTGTTCGCTACAGTTAGATTACACCGATCTAGGGTGACGAAAACCTTATTCTATTTTTCCGTCGGCGTTCTACAATGCCAAGACAGGCGAAATTGTCATTAATTAGTATGGTTATAACGACTCACTTAGAGGAATTAACGTTGTGAAATTTACGGGAGACCATTCTCTTTTCTCTTTGGATTACTCGGGAACATACTCGCGCCGGTACTCGACCTCGGGGGTTGATATACCAGCATTCTCTTTTACATGCAACATAGGGTTGTCTGGGGGAATTCTCTTTACATTATCTTCATTTACTCATGACATTCTATTAAACAAAAACACACATGCATTAATACAAGATCGGACACAAACATACAAAACTATTTTAAGAAAATACAAGATTTTCTTGTGATTACAAAGCTGTACAAATCATTTTCGCAAACATGTTTATGAACTCACCAACATTTTTATGTTGACCTTTTTAAATTAACTTGTATTATCAGGAAACCGTTGAAGCAGGTTGGGCTGAACAATTTAATGGATGTTTTGTTATATTTCATTCCATCATACTTTAATTATTTTGGCATGTAATATTTAAGCACAATACTCGATGTAAACAATGTATGTTGTTATATTACATGTGTGATGATGATGATGTTATGTGTCAATTATATAGTATGTGATGATACTACAAGGATGAAGTCACATGCAAGCCCCCGGACGTTTCCGCCGTCTGGTTCGGGTGTGTGACATCATGTGATAATATTATATATACACATCTTAACACATATAGAACCATATTTGGTTCACACATTGTATATCATCAAATATACATTTATCACATATTCCGGGCAATAAGCACATTGACATACGTGCACCTAATCCCACATCTTCTAGGAAAGAGAACTAAACATTCCTTATGATGGGTATGGGTACCTTCCTTAAAGTCGTGACGGCAGCAGATCTCGTAAAAACTCTACAGTTAAGCGTGCTTAGGCGATAGTAGTACCGAGATGGGTGACCCTTTAGGAAGTCCCCGTGTCAAGTGGCCCAAAGCGAACAATATTGTGATATGTGTCAGGGGGATGTTACAAATGGTATTAGAGCTAGGGCATGAGTTCATGTGTTTGACATGGATGTCAAACCCTATAAAATGGGTAGCTACCTGCACCTGATTCCACATCGGCTGGGAATGAGAACTAAACATTCCTTATGAGGGGTGTGGGTACCTTCCTTATTAAAACACGTTTTAAAGTCGTAAGGGTATCATATCCCATAATAACTCTGCAGTTAAGCGTACTTTGGCGAGAGTAGTACCGGGATGGGTGACCCCCCTAGGAAGTACTCGTGCCGAGTGACCCAAAGCAGACAATATTATGATACATGCCAGAGGGGGATGTTAGGTCGTACCTATATATTATTGATCCCTAAGAAGACATAAACCCTTACTCTAAACGATTTACTAGGTGAGATAACTCTCCTTGATAATCGTGGACTAGGATATGTGAGGGTCGATTGGGATGTGTATGTATGAGTATAAGGTTTTATAGATATTCAAGTTCGAGATATATTTATATTGTTTGGTATGATTTTGCAAGCTTGATAATTACTAAATATTATCATAATAATATTTTGGGATTGAAGTCCCTATGTATCTCACAAAGTTTCCCAACTTGACCCACTCATTGTATATGCATCACATGTAGCGGTGGATTGCTGAAGACCTGAATAGGATTTTGAGTGAATGAGGAGAATATTTGCAAAGGTATTCAGGACCATTAGGTTGTTACGTTGTAATGTATGTTATGTATCGATTACGACATCCTTAGAATTTTATTATTTGAGACAATCATTTGTACTCAAAATATTTAATGTATTGAGAATTTCCGCAATAAAAATATTATAATTTTTGAAAGCGTAATTTTTTTTGGTTATGAAAGATGAAGATGTCATACATATCACACGTCTTAATCATGATCACATTGAGAGCTTCCATCGATATAAGGAAAAAAAAAAGGAGACAAAAGATCTCATTATCTAACCCCTTTATTTATCGAGAATTCACTAATCGGGGAACCATTTACTAGAAACGATGTTCTAGATGATTGCAAGCAACCATAAATCCAAACCCTCCAAAGTGTCGGGAAACCCAATTGCTCCATGATGGAGTCAAGGAAGTTATAAGTTCCAATTCACCAAATCAAAAGCCTTAGTGAAATACACTTTCAATAATAACACGCCCATGTTATTCCTTCTTAACCATGAAACGACTTCATTAATTTATAAGGGGCCCATTAAGGATATTCCTGTCTATAATGAAACCCGATTAGACCTCCCCCACCATTGAACCGATAATCATTTTAAGTCGATTGGCTAAACACTTTAGCAATTACTTTATAAATACATCCAATTAAGTTAGTTTGACAATAACAACCAAGAGAGAGTAGGTCGTTGACCTTAGGGACATGTAGGATAAAAGAAGAATTACAACAAAGATTTTGGAACCGAAAACATGGAAAAAATTTCAAGGTTTGATTCAAAAATTGTCCAAAATGATTTTATGAACTTGAAAGAAAACCCATAGGGTTGAAGCTTTTCATTAGCTTCAAATAACCAATTTTATTTCAGACAACGATAAAGACTCTGTGAAAGACAAGACAACTTCAACCAATTTTATTTATGTTTTTATCTTTTAAATAGTTAATTAAAAATATAGGACTGTGATTCAAAAAGTATCCGAAATGATTTTATGAACTTGAAAGAAAACCTATATGGTCAAAGATTCAACCATTTTCATAGCTTCAAATAACCAATTTTATTTCGGACAACATTAAAGGTTCCCTGGAAGACAAGGCGACATCAACCAATTTTATTTATATTTTTATCTTTCAAATAGTTCATTAAAATATATGATAAAAAATAATAATTTATGTGTCAATTACTTAACAATCTTCCATGTTTTTAAAAACAAGCGTTAATCACAAACAACAATACATGAAAACAAAGAGAGAGAGGGAGGGGGTAAAAGCTCAATTAGCCATGATGTGACACATGGTGCTTGGACAATGACCAAGTACTAAATATCTTTGATTTTGGTCAAAATAGTTTGTGACTTATCGAGAATACAATACATACTGTTCCGAAAAACATTTTTAATACACATAAATGCTACAAGCCTACAATGTAAACCCATATTTTTTTTATCATTTTAACTTCAGTTTAGAAGGAGAAACACAATTTGTTTCAAATTAGTTCACTTACAATGTAATTATTCCAAAACTTTAAATTCTAATAAATTTAACATATTACTACTTATATTTAAGAATATATTTCAACCTTTAACTTATATATAACAAAAAAATTGATAAAAAAAATTATAAATACATTAACACATTTTTTGTTACATTGGTATTTTATGCATGGACCATTTCAAAGAAGAAAAGAAACATGGTGGCACTTGACTGTTTTATATTGTGGCGTCAAAGAAGACAAGAAAGAGAAACCCAATATCGAGATTGGACAGATCAACCCAGCTGTCATACAAATAGCCGATCTAGTTTATGGGGTTTTCATATGCCCCTTTACACCAGATTAAAACCCTACCTATCATCATCGACATACATATTACATACACATACATACTACAGGTTACTTGGTGACTTGATGCTGATGAGGTAAACCAGAAAGGGGCTCCGGAGGTTTCCATTTTACCTCTAATCTTCTTATTTCCATATAATTATATATATAAAAAACCCCTAGATTCAGATTAACTGTGTGAAAAATGGAGGAGGGGGTGAAAGGGGGAGACGATGAGATTCTGGGGTCAAGCTTGACCATGGAGAAAGTGGCTGCTGCTAAGCAATTCATAGAGAATCACTACAAAACCCAGATGAAAAACATTCAGGAACGCAAAGAAAGGTATTCATAAAAGCAAATTTTGTGTGAATTGAAACCGTGATTCTTACTCACTCCATGGGATTCCCGTGTCCTGCATTTGTTTTTCATTTTATGTTTTAATTGGCGAATCTCGAATCGGAGTACTTTGGGGTTCTCTCTGAGGCTAGGTTTAGTACAGTCTTGTCTCCTGCATTTATTATGCTCTGAGATCTACGCTTGGTTGCTGAAAAACCGGTGGGAATTGAATCCAGTTTACTTCATCTGTATTAAGTAACTGAATTGATTAGATTGGAGTTTCATTTAGTTGTGGGTTCGATGCATGCCATTGATTTAGTTGCGTTCTTCAATTCTCGATTTGAACTTACTTTATCAGGCTGATTATTGTTTGTAAATGCTAGTACGATACTTAATTTGCATCACAAACATCATTTTAGAGCTTTGAGAGACAATCATATCAACTTTACATGCACTTTTCCATTGCAGGCGATGGATCTTAGAGAGAAAGTTGGCTTCTTCAGACGTGCCTAAAGAAGAACAGATTAATCTGATTAAGGATTTAGAGAGAAAGGAAACAGAGTTCATGCGACTTAAAAGGAACAAAATATGTGTTGATGATTTTGAACTTTTGACAATCATTGGGAGAGGAGCTTTTGGCGAGGTAATACTAATACTCATATCATCAATCACAATTCCTTTATCTGTATTCCCCTTCTTATTGTCTGCAATTCCTTTATCTCTTTTATCTTTCTTTCATCACAGGTACGATTATGTCGTGAGAAAAAATCTGGCAACATCTATGCAATGAAAAAACTGAAGAAATCAGAAATGCTTGTTAGAGGACAGGTATATATATATAAATATATGTCTTTAATGAGGGAAGTGTTTCTTTTTGACTTGATACAAAAAGTGAGGAAAACATTCTTTCCATTTTAAGTCCTAACTTTTTACAAATTTACCCTCAACAGGTGGAACATGTAAGGGCTGAGAGAAACCTGCTTGCTGAGGTGGCAAGTCACTGCATAGTAAAATTATATTACTCATTTCAAGACACTGAGTATTTGTATCTGATTATGGAATATCTTCCTGGAGGTGACATGATGACTTTATTAATGAGAGAAGACACACTGAAAGAAAATGTTGCTAAGTTTTACATAGCTCAAAGTGTCATGGCAATAGAGTCCATTCACAAACATAACTACATTCACAGGTTCGTATGAAGATAATAATAATGATATTTTTTTTTTGTTGTTATTAATATTAAGTATTAAGTATTAAGATAAGATGTTTGATGTGAGTTTTTTTTTTTTTTTTTTTTGTTTGTTGTTCAGAGATATAAAACCAGACAACCTTCTTCTAGACAAAAACGGACACATGAAGCTTTCAGATTTTGGGCTGTGTAAGCCTCTTGATTGTAGGACATTGTCTACATTGAATGAAAATGAAGCCATGAGTGATGAAAATATAAGAGAACCAATGGATGTTGATGGTTTTCCTGATGCTGTGAATGGACATAGATGGAAGAGTGCTCATGAACAGCTTCAACATTGGCAGATGAACAGAAGAAAACTGGTATGTTACTGTTTTATGAGTTATTGAAGGTTATTATTATTGTTTGTTTTAGATGATTAATTAATTTGATCTTTTTGTTTTTTTTTTATGTGAGTCAAGGCGTTTTCAACAGTGGGTACACCGGACTATATTGCCCCTGAAGTGTTGTTGAAGAAAGGATATGGGATGGAGTGTGACTGGTTAGTGTTGTATTACTATCTGCTGATGCTGAGGATATTTTCGTCATTTTCTTTTATTTCACTAAGTATTACTATTAATGCAGGTGGTCACTAGGTGCAATTATGTATGAGATGCTTGTTGGATATCCTCCATTTTACTCTGATGATCCAATAACTACATGTAGGAAGGTATAACACGCTGCAATTGATTGTTATTTTTTATTTTCCAGTTCCAAATACTATGAAAATAAATTCTGTATATTTTGTTACAAATTTTTTGCCTTTATCTGTTGAATTACAGATTGTTCATTGGAGGAATCATCTTAGATTTCCAGAAGACACAATGTTGTCACCAGAAGCAAAGGATCTCATTTACAGGTTGCTTTGTGATGTGGAACATAGGTTGGGGACAGGTGGGCCCGACCAAATAAAGGTATGCTAATTGCTACACATAATGTCATATAAAAAAAAAACCTAATTTTGATTTTAGACAAAACTTATTTAATTTAAATTCATTTTCTCTCAGTCTCACCCATGGTTCAAGGATGTTGTGTGGGATCAATTATATGAAATGGAGGCAGCCTTTAAACCTGAAGTCAATGGGGAGCTTGACACCCAAAATTTTATGAAATTTGATGAGGTGTCCATCTATCTATCTATCTATCTATACATATAAAGTAATTTAACTATAAATAAAAGTGATTTTTTTTTTTTTTTTTTTAACAGTTGAATCCTCCAACTTCTGGAAGAACCAGTTCAGGCCCCTCGAGGAAGGTGTGTATAACTTTTATTGATGCATGATAAGCTTGTTTGAAAGAGACTTATATTCTATTATATTATTATACAGCAGCAATTAAATCCCAAGGACTTGAATTTTGTGGGCTACACGTACAAGAACTTTGATGCGGTAAAAGCACTGCGTGATAATCCTGGTGAGGTTTTATGTGGGCAAAATGACTGAAAGGCCCTTGCATTTTTTTTTAAAATTTACGTGAGATGCAAAGAACGATTTTGGTATCTTACTAATTCTTGTTTAACTTTGACTAGATCTCATGCGGAGTGCATCCAGTGATTCCTTATATGGTTAGCAATTTCCTACTTTATAATTAAAAACTCAAATTCTTTATTTTTATTTCAAAAAGGCATGTGGCCTTGTACTGTGTTTGGCATGCATTGGATTGTGACCGTGACCGATGTCGATAGGACACAAATTGTAATTTTTTTTTATAAAGGTGGGCTATCGATTTCTCGTTTGTGAAAAAAAAAGACATAAATGCCCTCCTCATCCTCATAATTATCATAAGTAGCCCTAGAAAGACTGTCGAGTCCCATCCCATGCTCATGCAACAAGCGCAGCCTTATGGCTGCGTTTGTTACACGGTACAATATTGGATGGGACTGGACAAACTTTCTAGGGCTATTTATGATAATTACGAGGATGAGGAGGGCATTTATGTCTTTTTTTCACAAACGAGAGATCGAGAGCCGACCTTCATAAAAAAAATTACAATTTGTGTCCTATCGACATCGGTCACGGTCACAATCCAATGCATGCCAAACACAGTACAAGGAACGGAAACGGGCCGTTGATAGTAAGATGTGTGTGACAAGAAACAGGTGGGGAACTAAAGATGGATTATACAACAAAAGGGACAGCGGAAGAAAGCGACATACAGATGATCACATCGGCGGGTGATGTAATGTATCCATAATTAATAGCTACTATGGGATTAAAAGGCATAACCTATTGTTGTGTGTTATAATCAATCAATCAGGTTGCTGTTGCCCCTCATTAATGGCAACCCAACCCCGATCCCCTCCCATTTGGCAGCCAATTAAAAGGCCTCCTCTGCCTCTTTCCATGAACTGATTCTACCAAATCCAGTGTAACCCACCACCCAACTCTACTGCCCCTCAAATCTATCTTTTTGAGGGCAGTAGTATTAAGTAAATGGGTGGCATTGGTTGGTGTAGATTTTAGTAAAAAATAAGATAAGATAATAATTAATGTAAGTGTAATTGTACAGTAGTAGTGTATAATCACTAAAAACCCCAAGTGAGTGAGAGGGACTGGGGCTGGGGACTGGGGGTAGTAAAGTAAAATGCCGTCTGTATGTCTGTCTGTGTGTTTTGGTTTGCCCAGGTTGACAAGTATAAAACTTGTCTTCTCTTGTGGCAGTTTCTAGAATATTTTATTTTATTTTTCTGACTTATTTTTTTCTTGTGTCATGTGTGAGCTTTTCTTTTATTGGAAGAATGGATTTTATTTTAGTATAAGTTCATGTATGTCGCATATTGCTTTCCTTTATCCTAAATTAGTGCTGTGTGAAACTGCGAAACGTCTACCCTAGTATTTTAACATGCTTATAAAAAGGAAGACCCAAAACAAAATAGGGTCAAATATTTCTCACATTTTACCTATTTACCAATCAAATTGTCTGTTAGATGAATATGTAATCACTTTTGGTGGATTGCCACAATATATAATTTTATAATCGGGACCAGGTTATGTGATGACAAGACATGACATTGCTTACATACGTGTTTAACTGTTTATCAAACTTTTGTTTTTCATTAGGTTTATGTAATAATATTGTACTTTAACTAATTTAAGTGACTTTTTGTAATTAAAATGTTGCATGTTTGTAACTTTGTGGGTTAATTAAATCATCAACTTTTTAGTTCTCATCATACAACAAAATTAGAAAGCAAACGGGCAACAAGTTGCGTCGTTAAGTCTTTTTGTATGGTAAAGTTAATTCTTTTGAAAACACATCCATAGATCTAGGGGAGATAATATTGTTGTGCATGATCCGTTGTAGTCTATTAAGAAGTTTTACCGTATCTGGTGCAAGGTAACGTATAATGCAAATGGTATGAACGTGTGTTGATTTTTCATACACGGTTTTTTATGTTTTATGACCTTGCATATAGTAGCTTTTAATGCAGTCTGTCTCGCTGTGAAACCCCTGACTCTCAAGCTTACACGAGGGGATATCAGTCTACACATGCGTGTTTCCCTCCAACCTATCCAAAAATCAAAATGTCGGTTGGTCTAAGGTTTGACCTTCTTTCTGTCGGGTCAGTCAGGAAATTCATAGGAGCTTTTTTCTTGGTGGAAACTCCGGCACACTTACATATGTCGATCAAAACATTCTTAACCATATTGTGCCTGTATTTGAACCCTTAGAGTTCTTTGCAATGACATGCATGTTTCTATTATATAAAAAGTATATGTACATTGATGAATCAATTTAATTCAAAATTTTAAAAAATAATAAGATGTAATAAATAATAATATAAGGCGATATACATAAATAAAAAATGTTATGTTTTGGTACTTTTTGTGTGGTATAACAACTTTATTTTATTTTGGTCAATAAAAAAAATCCACTGCAACAACTATAATCTCTAATTTTCAGTTTAACATTTGTCAAAATCGTTTCTTATTAACCTATATGACATTATATGTATTTAAGAGCATCCAATTGGAGCTTATTGAAATGCCTATCTATAAAATTTGTATATAACCTGGTAAGAAAACAAGATGTTATTTCATTGTTACGAGAAGTCATGTTAAGAAAACAAAATGCTATTTCATGATGTTATGTTATTTTTAACAACGAAAATATATAATATATACAAACTTTCTCTAAAAATAGATGAGTTTCATGATATATAATGTAATGATCAAACAAAAAAAAGGCGTATCTAACAAAAAAAATAATACCTTCTAACACCAATTCGAGCAATGAAACAATGCGCCTGAATTTGCTCCCCCAAACCGCCTCCAGTCCACTCCCGCCGTCCCTTGGCCATATATGTTATGTTGGGCCCTCGATTTGTTTTTCCATTCTATTCTCTCCGATTTGATTATCAAAAAGGCTTTACATGGGATTCTTAAGGGGCAAGCGGAATTCATCTTCTTCAACGACGACTTCTCCTTGTGCCGATCTCAGAGCTGCGTATAATAATTGCTTCAACAAGTGAGTCTACGATGAATTCTTAACCAGAAAACCCTTCGATTTTTGTATATATGGGTTTCAGTATGAAAAACCCTCATTAACATCTGTATTTTCATGTGTATGCATTACAGGTGGTATTCTGACAAGTTCTTGAAGGGACATTGGGATAAAGAAGAATGTGTTTCCGAGTGGGACAAGTACAGAGATTGTTTATCTGTAAGCTCATGTTAATCTGTTTCCTATCATCATTTACCTATATAAATCAACAATATCCAAAATGAAACACAAGTTTAATGCCATCATTGTAAAACTGATCTTCGTTTGACCTAGGGTGTATACACTTTGGGGAAATTCGTTTAGTCAATTTCATCGTATTTCTGGCTATATCTAGTTTGATATGAATCAATGAACACTCCAGGAAGAAGTAATAATCTGAGATTCTGATCAAACATGGCTCTTCCTACATCTACAACAGAAATTTATGCAAGATTTTATTTATATTCATAGCAAGTAATTTGAAGCATGCCATTAGACCTAGTTTTTATTTTTGTAATCCTTCTTTTCAGAAACATCTGGAAGACAAGAATTTGAGTCGCTTTCTGGAAGCTGAAGGAGTGAAGAGAATACCTGCTCCTATTGCTAAATGATTCATACTTGTTTTTATATGAAGTGGTAATTTGCTACATCTTTCAAATGTTTATTGAAGTTTCTTTTGTATTTTATTTGGTATTACTTTTTTGTAGAAAACAGTCGTTTGTGCTCACATTTGGGCTTTTGATGTACTTGTATTTTCTGTAAAAATGATGAATTTAATAAATCTGCAGGTATGACAAAATGCTGACTGACTGGATCTTAGAAACCATCTTTTTGTGCAAAAACTGATTGTGTTCTTAAATTTAATGGTGCTTATGCTTCTCATGGATTGTAGGGTCTGAGTAGTTAGGTTGTGTTTGATAAGCAGGACATGTGACACTGATAGAAAATGTTATACTGTTTTTGGCCTGAAATTGAGACTCATTTTGTTGCAAATTTAAAATTTCATAATTGTTAGGATTGCTTTTTAGACTGATTTTGTTGTGATCATTAACAAAAGTTGTCGATTGATATCTAAGGAGCTTGTTTGTAGTATGAAGTATGTGAGGTGTTGAAAAGCCTACACAACTTTTAATTGAACAATTTAAAAGATCATTTAGATGTTTTGCTTTTTTTTTTTTTTAAGTAAATAACATCGGAAATTTAAGATTAGTTTTTAAAAGGCAAGAGCATTCACCATGGCTCTTGCTTAATTTGATCCAGAAATTAAGTAATGGTTTTAGAAATTGTTATAATAAGGGGGAGTTTGGTTTGTGGAATATTATGGAGGTAGTAGAATTTGTCAAAAGGAATTGGAATTTATCGTAGGATTTGGAAAGTAAATTATGTAGTATAATTAAAATACATTTTTATTAATTTTTTGTAAACTAGTAGCATTTTTAATAAAAATGATAGAACTTTTATTTAACTAAAATTTCATTTATTAAACTCTTATCCACTCAAACATTATGTTGTTTTTTTCTGTTGAATTTGCACTTAATATATGATGAGAAAAGATAGCTTCACAAATCGAAAAGATTTAATTGCATTTGATAAAATAAACAATTAATAGATATATAGCTATGGGGCTAGGTCCAATGTCACTTAGTCCGGAGTTGGGTGCATATTTGACGAGTTAAAGAAAGGATATTATATATATATATATATATATATATATATATATATATATATATATATATATATATATATATATATATATATATATATATATATGTGTGTGTGTGTGTGTGTGTGCGCGCGCGCGTGTGCATGTCTAAATACATGTGCGTGAGTATACGTGTGGGGGTAGGTGGTTATGGAGTTTGATGGGTGTAAGTGTAGGGGTGAGTTAGGGTTAGATGTAGAGGTGGGAATCAATATTATCGTGCATGTATGAGTGGAGTGAGGCGGGTGGGACGGATGTGTCTATGGGGGTGGGGGCTAATGGGGACGTAGGCATGCTTATTGGTGTGGATGTAGTGGTGATGTGTGTTTAGATATGGATGTGAATGTGGATATAAGTGCCGATGAGGGGGGTAGGGGTGGGCATGTACTAATAGGTGCATGTGTATTAATGTTAAGAATAAATTATTCACAAGATCAAAATAATTGTAAGAAAATATCAAATAACTTAATATTTTTCATAATTAAATCAAACCATCTAACTGTAGATAACATTTACATTATATCAAATAGCTTAATCATGGCCTAACCGAGGTTAGCCGGAGTTGAGTAAAGGTAGATGTTGAAGAGGTTTGTGTTAAGTTTTTCAGCCGTTTTATGAAAGGAGAAATGTGACCATGACCTAACCATGAACGCATTAAAACCTTTTGCTTTTTTCCATGTTAGCTCATGGCCATCATCATTTTGTGATCTAAAAGCTTATGATATCTATAAGATGGTTGTTTTGGAGGTTGACTTGTTGCGGAAAAGAAGGGTTACGTAGACATTGTTATTATGAAAGCTGCTTAAAATACCTATGAGGGAAATCCATTTAGAAAGTTGAATGCGGTGTTTATTTACATGCATGATTCAGTTGAGATATCTTTATCGAGATCAGAAGCAAATTGTGCAAAAGCTTCGTTAGACGGTTTGATTTAATTATGGGAAATGTCTTAATTATGTTATTTGATATATAGTAAAGATTATTTATAGTTAGATGGTTTGATTTAGTTATAAAAAACATCTTGTTCTTATGAATAATTTATTCTTAATATTAATACATAGTAATGATTTTCAACACCATTTTCAATTTCTACGAAATGTAAAAACCTTTCTAAAGTTTCAAACTTATCTATTTTAACTCACTTTATCGCTCTTTTGCTTGAGCATCTTAATCATTGGTTGCTTACCTGAAATAAAATTAAATTAATTTGGTTAATCTAAAAGAAGCCTTGGAAATGGAAATGAAGTACCATTATGTTTAAGCCAAGCGTTTGTTAAAATGCTAAGAAGAGAAATTCATATGTTACATTCCTATAATACTTCTATATTACAAGACCAATATTATGTTGTAGGTGGTCGCCGAAGATGGTGGAATTGCTGGAGTAGGGAAAAGATGGTGGCTGATGATGTCTTTGATGAATTGATTATGATGTAAATTGAAAAATGTATGGGTGGATCCCTTTTTTCGTTAAATTATCATAAAAATCATTATGTACAAAATAAAAATTAAAATATATATATATATATATATATATATATATATATATATATATATATATATATATATATATATATATATATATATATATTTAAAGGGTAAGATAGTCATTTAAGTTTGATAGGGAATGCAATCTAACTAGGCTAAGGACCATATATGTAATTTAAAAAATCATTGGACTATATCCAAAGAAATCAACAAAGCAAAGGGACTATCTTTGCAGTTTTGTCCATTCCTTTTCAGCTCAACACTGTGAACCTAAAAACAATCCGACACCAAAGGGAAGCATTATTTCTCAGGTTTCAACACCAGTCTCCTCCTTCCTGTGCTAGAAGAGTGAAGTGAACCCATGGTATATAAGAAGGTGATGGACCCTGTAAAACCGGCGGCGAAGGAGCCTAAGAGCCGGCGGCTGACTAACATCGAGCGTTCTTCATACTTCGCACGCCGAGAGGCGGCTAAGGTCTTGAAAAGCGTATTGCAAGGAGACGCTAATCGTAGAGCCGTTGGTTCCATTAAAACCCTCGTTTATAGTCCCTCCATAAGGAACAAGAAAGCCACATTTGCTTTAGTCTGCCAAACCCTAAAATGTGAGTTTCAATCTGCTCTCTTCTCTTAAGCACTTATTATTGAATTCTATTTTCTATTTTGCCTCAAACGATAAAAACGAAAAAGTCTTGTGATTTGTGAATGTATATCGTCGGACAACAAAGCTAAGTTTGTGCTAATTGATCGTTTTTGCAAATGGAAATAGCTTTTCTACACTGCTTTCATTACTTGTTTTAATCTGCTAAACCCAAAATATTTCTAGTGTTCATAAACATTAGAATTCAAAACGAAGTTAGTTTCCATATTTTTCAATCAACAATTTAACACTAAGGGAAAGTTCCAAATTAGAAATCGAAACGAAATTGGTTTCCTGACATTGCAAAAAACACTAGCTGTTTAATGATTTTTTCTAATTTCATATTGATTTCATCTCTTGTTTCTCTATTCACAGATCTTCCAATCATCAAGGATGTATTGGAGATTGCTAATGTATTAAACAGCAAATGGAAGGTAAGTAATACCTCAAAAAACATATTTGATACCTGATCTTCATTCCATACTCACCATATATATTTGAATGTTATTATTATTTTTTTTAATCTCTCGTTACTATTTATTTGAAATTTATTGCTTCTGTAATTCATTTTGTAACAGAGGCAAGTGGAATTAATGTACATAATCACCTATGACATTCTTTTCGGACAGGTACCTTCACTTTCTTGAATGCCACATTATATAATATTTTCTTTAAATTAATCATATACATAATTTTAACATTTCTTCATAGGATTCATCTCTAACAGGAGATCCAGAAAAGTACCTTATTTTGAGGAAAAGTCAACTACAGTCAGCTCTTGCAAAGATCTTATTAAAGAAGGGAGCAAAACGTATAGAAGATTTAATGTCCCAATATAAGATTCCTGGTTTGTGCTACCAATAACATTCCACTTTATTATTTATAATTTACACAACTATATTTATTAAACGAGATCTATGATTTATCATTTATGTAGCAGATGTTAAAAAACCTCGCTATGTTCGTGTCAATACTCTGAAATTGGATGTTGAAACTGCTGTGTCTGAATTAAGCAAAGATAATATGGTAACATTAATATACATTATGGTACCCTATTTAATTTATCTTTTTTATTTTTCTGATTTTAGTTATAATAATCTTTATAGGTCGAGAAGGATGACATGATTCCCGATTTATTAGTGCTTCCACCAGCTACTGATTTGCACAATCATCCTTTGGTCACAAACGGAAGTGTATTTATGCAAGTAAGATTTAATAATTTTTTTCATTTTGGTTTATTTTATTTCATTATCTTCTTCACCCATAATTACATTAATATAATTTTTTTTTAGGGTAAGGCAAGCTCCATGGTGGCAGTTGCCCTTGGGCCTAAACCAGGGTGGGAGGTTTGTTAATCTTTAGTTATATATATATAATTAATGACTGTTTTCTAGGGCTATTTTGGGTGTTTTTTTTTTTTTTTTTAATTTGATTAATATGTAAATGTTAAACTTTTTTTTTTTGTTCTTTTTAAGGTTATTGATGCATGTGCAGCTCCTGGAAATAAAACTGTACACCTTGCTGCTGTTATGAAAGGTGAAGGGAAAATTATTGCTTGTGAACTTAATAAAGATAGAGTTAAGAGATTGGAACACACTACAAACTTGGCGGGGGCCACCAGTATCCTTACACTTTTTTTTTTTTTTTTTTTTTTGAGTAACTGCTGTATGGATAAAATAAGTAAATAAATAAATGTTTTAATAATATTTGAGAAAAATAGACTTGACATGATTTATAGATGTGGAGGTTTTGCACGAGAATTTCTTGAACTTGAATCCTGAAGATGAATTGTATTCTAAGGTAAGTTTTTACTTACTTTGAGAATGATTTGAAAATCTGACTTTCTATTTTTAGATTATCTGATTTTTATCGGCTGCTTTTAGGTCCGTGCTATATTGTTAGACCCTTCATGTTCTGGATCTGGAACAGTTGCTGATAGATTGGATTATCTGCTTCCATCACATTCACATACCTCAAGTAAATTGCTAAAAATATATCTTAGGACTAAGTTTATTTATTTATTTTATTTTTTTGATTAAATTTATATGTTTTTTTTTATGTTGGGGAAGGTGATGGTGATGGTGGTGATGTGGGCCGGCTACTCAAACTTGCTGCTTTCCAGGAGAAGGCATTAATTCATGCATTGTCTTGTAAGTTTGTTGTTGTAGTGAAAAGACCAAAATACCCTTGTTTGGTTTTGTAATATATTTTTTTTATTTGTTTAGTTCCAGGAGTTGAGAGAGTAGTCTACAGCACATGTTCTATTCACCAAATTGAGAATGAAGATGTGATAAAATCAGTGTTGCCTTTTGCTGCATTTTTGGGTTTCCACCTGGCAACTCCATTTCCACAGTGGGCCCGCAGAGGTCTGCCAGTTGTCGAAGGATGTAAGGCCATGCTCTCTTATTATTTATTTTTTTATTTTTTTTTAAAATATAAACGAGGACAAATTTATTAAAAAAGTTAGGACTTGCGTATACCTGTGTAATTTTCAGCACAACATCTGCTTCGAACTGATCCTGTTGAGGATAAAGAGGGGTTCTTCATTGCGTTATTTACAAGGAATGCCACTCGTTCTCCTGAAAGCCCTCAGAAAGTTGAGAGGGGTAGTTTGGAGAATTTGAAACAGGAAGCTGTTGGGAAATGTGATTGCCACAAAAAGTTTTTAAGGGTTCTACCATTTACCAGAATTTCGAGATTGTATCTACATAGAAATTTAGTGATGCATGGAAGGTGATTCTCAATTTTATTTATGACACAATTTTGTGTCGTTTTGACATAAATTTGTTTTTGGTTTCTAGTTTGTTAGAACACTTCCGTAACTTGGGTTAAAGGAGAGACTCGTTTGTTGTTTATCGTTTTCTCTATATTTTTATAAGTTTGTTTTTACTTTTTAGAGGCTAATCATTTTCTCCATATTTATAAGGCCGTGTTTGATATTGAGTTTGGAAATCAAAAAAAAAAAACATTTTTTGGTAAAAATGTTTATTAGTTTATGGAGTTTAAAATAAAGTTTTTAAAAATGTGTTTAAATTTATTTATACGGTGAACTGATTAACATTTTTTTGAAATGAACTGTTTATATACATAAAATGATAAAAAAAAACATTTTTATATATTACTTTTAGGCACCACATTGATGATAAAACACCAGTTTTAAATTCTTGTATCGATCTCATAGCATGAAAAACAATTTATTTTTAATGGATTAAATGTTTTCAAACCTCAAACAAAATTCAAAAATTCAGGAAAAGAGAAATTGAAGAGAAAACCTTACTTGTGTAAAAACAAACCCTTAACTGAAAGAAAGATATGTAAAAAAAAAATCCTAAACTGAACACTATGTAAAAATCAAAATAAAAAAAATTAACGATCAACAATCAAAATATTTGGAAGCAATTAGAATTTTTTAGATTCCAATAAATTTCGTACGGGAAGGATTGGTCATTCTTTGCCTAAAGGTAAAAATTTTAGACCTCCTTCCTTATGATTTATTGTAATCATAAAACCAAAAACATATTATCATCATCTCTCAAACATCTTATCCATCCACACACCAACCCACATACCTATCCATCCCACCCCTACATCCACCTCACCCACACATACATAAGCCCACGTTTACCCCATCCACCCGACTTATCCCTACAACCCACATACCCAACACCACCCCATACCTACCTACCCACACATACACATACCCCCATACCCTTACACCACACTAATACCCACCCCACCCCACACCCACCTATAGGTACAAGCACACTCCCACGCCAATCAAGCGGGACGACGACATCAAAGCCCTCCCCACCCCACCCCTGGATGCTTACGCCCACCCAATCCTACATTTCTACCCCCATATCTGATGGGTTTTTTAGGTTATAAAAAAAATTCATGTGGAAAAAAAACACTTAAACCCTTAAATTCATGTGGAAAAAAAACACTTAAACCCTTACTTTAATCGAAATTACAAGAAGGATTAGAATTACATACATTTTGATTAATATATCAATTAATCAATAAAATCTCCCATTGAATTCCTTGGAAAGCAAACACCAAAAGCTTGGATGTTTCTAATGACTTGTACCCAATTTGAATATAATAATAATATCTAGGATTAGGTAATTATCAAATATGCTTAATCTAGAAACCCTAAAACACATAGCCAAAACCGGCCATACTAAGAGGGTTCTAGAAAGCCATTTTTGCTCAACTATTAAACAATTACAACTTAGTCCATGCACTTCTAATTAATTCTAATTAATTCGAAACTAATTCCAATTAATTTTTGATTACTTCTAAATTAATTATAACTATTTCTAATTAATACATTAGTCATATAATATATTAATAAATCATTTATTTCAATTTCTAATTAAGTTATTACTCATATAATAAATTAACAAATGATCCTCTTTCCCCAAAAGTCATTCTATTCAGTTATAGGTTATAAGGGAAACCCACACAGACTTTGCTTATTTGTCAAGAATATAGCAATTTAGTTATTGACTTAGATACCTTAATCCAACAATACACACCCCCACCTCCATTACACCCATATATATACCTATTCATTCATCCATCTTACCGTACACTCACATGCCTATGCATACGTCTACCCATTCACCTACATCTACAACCACACATATGCCCCACTCCTTACCATATCATACTCCCATACCCACCCACCATATCCTTTTCCCACCTAACACCTCACACAACATCTACATCCACACCACACACGTATATGCCATGCTACCAAGCCCATAAAGATGTTCATGTCGACATCACCTACCCCACTCCTACACTCACACCTACACCCACACTTACTCGCCTAAGCCCACGCCAACAAGATCATATATGTTTGAGTAGGTAAAAGTTTAATTAATGTAGATTTTATCATTTTTTATTAAAAAGTAATAAAAAGTTATACATGTCAACGAAACACATAATAAATCCCAATTTTTTCAAATTTCAATTCCTTCATGATCTAACTTCTTTAATGTATTTTATTTTTTGTAAAAAATATTTGTGAACCAAAACACCAAAAAAATCTAGGGTTAATGCCATAAAAACCATTATATATACAACCTTATTCCATTTTAGGCTCAATTTCCTTTTGTTCCTTATTTTCATTATATTTTGGAAATTTTTTATTTTTGGGCTCTTGGTCAGTCACTAATAGGTAATGATGGCATGTAAGTTTGACTTACATGAAATACTTTTATCAGTTTGCATTTAGCCCTAATTTTTATGTATGAGTTTGTATTTAGCCACAATATTTTTTGTTTTCCATTTTCCATTAGTTTTTAGAAAAAATTTCATTTTATCCATTGGCCAATCACCAATAAATATTTTAAAACGTAATAACTTAAAATGAAAAAGGAAAAGATGAAAGCAAGAGTCGAAACTATGACTTCTTCTTGAGGGGAGGGGCGTGTTAGCTAGTAAACTAATTACTTTTTTTTTTTTGGGTATTATCAATGTTTGTTGTATTTAATGTGTATATATGCATTTTAGTATAAAGGGAAAAGACCTAGTGTAAGTATTGAATCCAAGACATCTAATAAACAATATGACATGCTAATCTTTGAATCAATCAAATTTGTTAATTCAATCTTAACTCATCTAAGAAAAAATTGGCTATTTCTAATGACATATTTGTTGTAAACCAAAGAAATAAGATGCCATTATGTAGAGTATTTGAGTATTAAATGTAAGAAATAACATTAAACATTTTTTTTCCTTATTAGAGCATCGCACTTTCATATTTTCATATTACAATATGTACTTTCAAATTAATATCTATCAAGGCATTGTACTTTGATATATATACTTAGGGGGTGTTTGACTAAGCTTTTTAAAACAACTTATTAGGTTCCACACCATTATAAGTTAAAAAAGTGTTTGGATGAAAATAACTTATTCCGGTGGGGGAACCTCTAATAAATCATTTTTTTTCATAAGTTACTCTACACTTTCTTATTAACTTATAAGCTAATAAGCTAATAAGTAATAATTTTTTTTACCAAACACCCCCTTACTATAACAATATGCAATATGTTGATTCAAATTATGATGGTTTGACACAACTTAATAGATTTTTATGCGATAACAAAGAGAGCAATTGACTCATCGACTAATACACCCCGCCCCTCAAAGAGAAGTCACAAGTTTGCCTCTTGCCTTTAGTGCCTCTTCCCTTTTCATTTTAAGCTTTTACATTTTAAAATATTTATTGGTGACTGTAAGGCTAAATGAAAAAAAAAATTCATTCAAAAAAGTAATGGCAAATGGGGAACAAACAAAATGTTGGGGCCAAATGCAAAGTCAAACATAATTATTAGGGTTAAATACAATCTGATAAAAAAAGCAATGTCAGCCAACCCAAACCAACCCAACACGTCATTATAACTTATTGGTGACCGAATAATGAACCAAAACTAATTTTTTTATTTTTTGAAAATATAATGACATACGAGAAATAAAGAAAAAAATTGAGACTAAAGTCTAAAACATATATATAATAGTTTTGTGGCATTAATCCAAAAATTTGAAGTTTTTGTGTAAAATAAAACAAGTATTGCACTCCCGAATATGTTTACGGCTTAAGGAAAAGAGGGTCTAAACGGGAATTTGTTAAATATTTTGCAGGTTGCTAGGGTTTAAGGGATTGTATGATTGTATCCACATCTGTAGTATCTAGGCGAGGATACCAAAAACCCTAGTCGTCTGGATCCTTTCTCCGGCACCCATTCTACTCTATCCGCCGTTATCCCTCTTCCTTCATATTGACATTACCGGTAACGATTTCTCCCTTTCTTTTCTTTCTGATTTCATAAGTTAACATGTGTCCAAGTGGTTGTAATTTAGTCGATTTGTCTTCAAGTTTCTTCTTTTTAGACTCTTCTTCATCTAGTTGAATTCAATTTGTGGTTGTTTGTTTGATCAGTCCTAATGATAAAAAAAATTATATGTAAATTTACCTTGAACTTCTCCACGGTAATCAGCGTTCTTCCAGTTCCTCAGTTTAAGCTATTTGATGGCAAAGTTCTAACATTTTAAATCTTAATTTCATTTGGTATTAAGATTTAAGATAATGGTGGCTCCGCTCTACAACACTGTCGACTCACCCATGGGAGACAATGAAGAACAGTTGCCCGGTATAAAAGACATGGATGTGGATGATAAAAAACAGATCTGGGAAGATTGGAATGCTGATGAGGAATACGATGAAGATGACGACGTTGAACTGCTCTGTTTATTTTGTGATTCTAAATACATTTCAAGTGATTCACTCTTCGAACATTGCTTTTCAAGCCACAGTTTTGATTTTGGAAGCATCAGAACTACAATGAACCTGGATTTCTATGGTTGTTTCAAGCTCCTCAACTATATAAGATCACAGGTAAGAACTGTTAGACAACGCTCAAAACAAATGCTTTATCAGAAAGTAACATATGGTGAAGTTTTTTGCATTTAACTGTTTGTTTTGATCATTATTTTTACTAGGTGGGACAAAATCGATGTTGGAGTTGTGGAACTACATGTCAGTCTAGGTTAGAACTACAAGATCATTTACATGAACCTTCTTTAGCAAGCAGCAATCTTCCATGGGACAATGACATGTACCTGAAACCATATATGGAAGAAGATCATTTGCTATATGATTTTGATAAAGATGAAGAAGTTGATGATGATTCTATGATATCATCTAAAGAGGACATGCTGGAAAATTTAAAGATAAGCATTGAAGAAAACGGGGCGAGTTCATCAGAAGTAAAATCTAATGATAAAAAGTCAAACAATGCCATTGACCATGAAATAGTAATCGTGAATAAAAACTATTTTGGCTCATATGGTTCATTTGGTATCCACAGAGAGATGATAAGTGATAAGGTATCATTACTTCTATGACTTATCTTATACTATGTCAATTGGACTAAATTGTAGTTTTTGTCCTTGTCTGTGCAAATGACGTAATCGCCCTCCTCATTTTTAATTTATCACTAAAAATAGCTAATATGTTATGTTATATAGGTAAGGACGGATGCTTACAGACAAGCTATTGTAGACAACCCTTCTCTTATAAAGGGTGCGGTTGTTTTGGATGTTGGTTGTGGTACAGGGATATTAAGGTAATATTCCTTTTGTTTTGTGTATGGATATACGAGGGCAAATTTGTCAAAAAGTTATCTTATTTTATTCTAATCGTTATCTTTTATAGTCTGTTTGCAGCCCAAGCAGGGGCCTCGATGGTAAATGCAGTTGAAGCAAGTGATAAGATGGCTTCCGTAGCCTCTCAGGTAATCCATTCAAAAGACATAAATACCCTTCTCCTTCTCATCCTCCCTATTTAAGGAAGTTTTATTACTGGAAACATGCAGATTGCAAAAGACAATAACAGAAATGGAGTAGTTAAAGTTGTGAATGGAATGGTTGAAGATCTCATTGAATCAAAACAAATTGAGCCCAAAAGTGTTGATGTTTTAGTGAGTGAGTGGATGGGTTATTGCTTACTCTATGAGTCAATGTTGAACTCAGTTCTTATTGCAAGAGATCATTGGCTTAAGCCTGGAGGTGCTATGCTCCCTGATACTGCCACCATGGTATTTAAAAATCCAATTATAGCATTCTACTTTCAATCTTTTTTAAAAAAAAATATATAAACTGTTTATTTATTTATATTTTAGTTTGTTGCTGGATTTGGAAAAGGGGCTACAAGTATGCCATTTTGGGAAAATGTTTATGGATTTGACATGTCATCAATTGGTAAAGAACTGGTGGAAGATGCTGCTCATATTCCCATTGTTGATGTTGTGGATGGAAATAATTTGGTCACTAATACCGCTCTCCTTAAGGTTGGTTTACACCTTTACTTTGTTAAAAGACCGAAATACCCTCGTTAACTTTTTATTTGTTTTGTTCAGACGTTTGATTTAGTGACAATGAAACACGATGAAGTCGATTTCACAGCCTCGGTCCAATTACAACAAAAGGGACAATCCACCGTAAGCAAATGTTATGGAATTGTAGTTTGGTTCGATACTTCCTTCACAAACCGATTTTGCAAAGAAGCCCCTACAGTTTTGTCAACGTCACCATACACCCCCTCAACTCATTGGTCACAAACTTTGCTCACTTTTTGCAAACCAATTTCACTATCATCGTCATCATCATTGGTGGATATGGCCCACAAGAGTTCTTTGCCAGCTGGCACAGATGCCAACCCAGCAGTTAGTATAAATTCACGCATCAGTATTGTACGTGGTCTTGAACATCGAAGCATTGATATTTCAATGGAGGTGACTGCTGTTGGGTTTGATGGGCGAAAACGGAAATTGCCTGTGCAAATGTTTAATATGCGTTAGATTTTGATATGGTTGATGTTTCTTTGTATCGTGTAACCTTGTGACAATTTTTGTTTTATTATGATGATTTTTGTAGTTATGGAAGTGTTATTGGCATGTGTGTTGACTAGTTATTAGCTACTGCATGTGCCTATTCTTTATTACTCGGTTGAAAACAAACTAAGTTTTGTTTTGTTTAAGTAATGAATATTAGCATCTTACATAGATTTTTTTTTATAAAGAAAGTTTGGAGCAAATTCAAAAAAATTTTAAAATGTCGAAAAGGTGAAAAGTAGAAAACTAGATTGGTTACTATGGGTTTTTTTTGTAAACATGGACTATGTATTTTTTTGTTCCTCACATATGGACAAGTTATGTCTATTTTATAGGGACAAAGAAGAAAAAAAAATTGTTGATGATGTTTTGTTAGGAGTAGTAGCTATCTTTTGATAAATGTCCATTTTGATTATCAAACAACTCCCATAAAAATAGAAAATGTTGGTGCTTGTTTCTATCATACTACCATCAAACCATATCAAATGGGAAACAATTCATCATAATTTCAATTTAAAAAAAAAAATCTAAAAAGATAAGAACAAAACATATGTTAATATAGTTATAGGCATTGATTCAGGTAAATCAATAAGCAATGAATACGTAGAAAATATTAGGTTTTGATACAAAATATAAGTTTGTTTTTCATAAAAATCGGCAACGGAAAACATTAAAAATAACAAGTTTACTTTTAGTTAATAACAAAACCCAACCATCATGGATCTATTTATAGAGATTATAATCAAATAAAAGCACAACCAAAGAGTGTTGATGAAGATGGAAAGATCAAATAATATGATATTCTCTACAAGTATCCACTATCAAGATTAAGACATTTGGAATGTTAGTTTCTTCTTGTATAAAATACTTAAGCCTTTTAGTACTTAACTCAAATAAACACTATAAGAGAAGCACATACCAGGCCTTGCCCACTACATTAGACCGAAGTCCGGAAACTAACCAGGGCCTTGCCCTCTACATCAGACCGAAGTTCGAAAACTGCATCGGACCGAAGTATGGAAACTAACCAGGGCCTTGCCCTCTGCATCTGACCGAATTCTGGAAACTGCATCGGACCGAAGTCCGGAACTAACTGGGACCTTGTCCCCTGCATCGGACCGAAGTCCGGAACTAACTGCATCGGACCGAAGTCCGGAACAGACTGATCATAACATAACATAAACATATCAACTAGCATGAACACATATACTGCATACTGCATCGGACCAGGGTCCGAACACATAACATAAACATGCTTGAATCATAAAGACATCAAGCACACTACTACTGCATCGGACCGAAGTCCGAAACTATTGCTAACTAAACGGGTCGGCATTGTGGCCGTAGACCCGTTCCTACTGGAGGGAAACTCACCTCGTAATGATGGCTGCTGAGATGCTAACTCTAAAAGTGGCTGACTGCTGCTCCAGAACTGTCCGACTACAAATCCCAAAAACACTAGATCAGGTACTTATAAATGCCCTCAGGGTAAAATGACTATTTTACTCCTGGTCAAAGACAACTCCCTGGTCAAAGTCAACTTCCAGTTGACCGGACTCGTCGAGTCAGGGCGCAGACTCGCTGGGTCCCTCCATTACTAACTTTGACTCTCACTCACCGAGTCCCTTCCCCATTCACTGATTCACCCTGAACTCACAAATCGAAGAAAGACGGGGGACTCGCGACACGACTCGTTGAGTCCGAAGAACAACTCGCCGAGTCCTAACATGTAGATTCCATACAGTCGATTCTAATCCATTTCAGAGCATCCAACTCGTAGATCTAAGCTCTTGGGACCATTTGAACATGTAAAGTTGCTAACTTTACGTGTAACTAATAAAAATGAAGCTATTTCAATCAAACTCTACTTTAATGGGGGAAAACTCATCCGGCTCGCTGAGTTGTTCATACAACTCGTCGAGTCTTAGGCAATCTTCATCGGACTCGCCGAGTTGCTCATCCAACTCGTCGAGTCCACGGCTATCTTCATATGACTCGCTGAGTCAACCTTGCGACTCACCGAGTCTATTCAATCCTTTTTCCATACAGACTTGTTTTGAGCCATGCAGCGGCTCCAAATCATAGATCCAAGTTTCTAAGGCATACTTATCACGTAAAGTTGCAAACTTTATGTGCATGCATGGGTTTAAAGGCTTCAAATGCCAAATATAAGCTCTTAATGGGGTTCCAAGCTCAAGAGGGACCTCAATCACAACCAAAACTGAAACTTTACACTTCTAGAATGCAATGAGGGTTCAGATCTGAAGTATAACCCAATCATAAGGATTTATCACAAAGGATTTGGGCTTTTTGGGCTTACAAGCAACAATTTGGGGACAAACAAGATCTAATAGATCAATAAGAAAGATGGAGACTTTATTACCAGAAAAGATGACCACAAATGAGTGTGTTCTGGATCTAATTCCTCTTCCTTGAACTCTTCAACCTTCTCCTTCTTCTACTTGCTCCAAAAGTTCCTTCACAAGTAACAATCACTCACACACTCTTTAAGGGGGCTAGGGTTTGGTGAGAGATGCTCTGAGGGTGATGGAGGCGAGGTTGGGGCGCATTAATGCGTTTAAATAGGGTGCAAACCCTTAAAATTAGGGCTTCATCCAGACAGGCGGACTCGCCGAGTCCCAGCGTATGGACTCGTCGAGTAGCCAACTCAATTTGCGTGATCATCCCATCTCTACTCGATGAGTCGGGCTACTGACTCGTCGAGTCCCATTTAAGAAATGAAAATACTTTATTTAAATCACATACCAGAAATGGGATGTTACAATTAAACTGTAAAGGATTTCAGGAAGCAGGTTTAAAAAGGTAAAATATGGACTTAGTTCGAAAGAAAAAGGGAAAGGAGAAACCAAAGGTGACACTATGGTGAAAAGTTTCGGAAGGAGTTGGGTATATATCCCTCCCGAAATCCTAACCCTAGGAGTAATATCCACCCGCCACCTTTCCCTTCTTTTATTGTCGGTGCCATACTACCCTTATGTCGCCCTCACCACCGATGACCACCATGACTGTTGGAGTTGGAGGAACCGCCACCATTCACCCAGTCATCCTCCAACCACATAGCACCATTGAGAGAAGTTGAAGACCAACATGGAAGGGAGCGAAACTGCATCATGGAAGATCGAAGGAGGAGTGGCGTAGTGGTGGCCGCCGTTCGTGACTCCAGTCGCCGCCATCGATGCCAAAGCCGGAAAAACCATCGGGATATGTTGTTGTCCCCATTCCTACCGTGGCTGCTTGACCAGGAACCAAAAGAAACCACCGCCACTACCGTGAGGTGGTGGCTACCATCGTAGGACCACCGTTGCTATTGCCACCATCTCATGTTGCTGCCATCGCCACCCACCACAGGTGGGTGTTGGGTTTATTTGTCTGAGAAAAAGGATGTGTGTGTGTGTGTGTGTGTGTTTCTACCACTAGAGTGAATACCATACGTCGTGGGTAGTGTGGCTTGGTTGGAGTTCACAAGAAAAGCCACCACCACCACGTACCACCACTGGCCACCACAAGGGTGGCTATATGTGTGTTTATCTATTAGTGTGTGTGTTTATGTTCAAGTTAAAGCATTGTAATTGTAATTTGTGGCTAGTATAATGGAAAGAAAACTCATAACCACCAGTGTGAGGTGGTGGCAGCCGCCTCCTACCACCACCAGCCATCGTGTTGGGTGGCAGTGTGCTTTCTGTGTGTTTAGATCTCGTTTGGGATGCTAGGACAAAAATTGACTAGAATCATAACCACCACCGTGAGGTGGTGGCCACCACTGTTGTCCATCACTACCCGAGGTGGTAGTGGGTGGTGCCCGACTTAGGAAAACCCTAATTGTCCTAATGAAACCCTAATGGGCCTAAGGACTTAGCTTTTGGGCCTAGTTGGGCTGTGAAGGGTTGGAAAACCCTAATTAGGGTTTAGAAAACCCTAGTTTTGGATATATGGGCCTTAGACTTATCGGGACCCATGTTTGGGCCATTGGAATTGAATGATTAATTACAACCGAGCATACAATATGATTTATCTAGTAGAGTGATGGACTTAATGGATTAAGTCCTTAATGGATTAAGTCCTTAATGGGTTAAGTGAGAAACACTTAACCCTAATTGTCATTTTATGTGAAACCCTAATTTCACTTGGGCCTTAAGTTGAGCGTTTCTATTGGGCTTTGATGATTGGGCCAATAATGGGCCATTCAAGAACAATCATATAGACTAGAATAATTAGATGGGCTTTAAGGTAAGGCCCATGTAAGGGTTTGGGCCCAATTTGGAAAATTAAGCCATAAATGGGCCATAGTTTGGGCCTTGATGATTATAAGATATTAGGCCATTAGAAATGTCAAAATTTTGGACTGGACTAAAGGGTTGGGCCTTAGGGGAAGACTATGTAGAGGTTTGGGCCCAATTTTCCATATGTTGGGCTTTGACTTATAGTTGACTTTTGGGCCTTTGGATTGGGCCTTGGGCTTGAGTCAAGCTAACTTGGGGGTAAAGTATCCTTTTACTCCAAGCATGGACTTATGGTTTTATGTTGGAACCTAATTACTGATTGAGTGTTATTTTGATGATTGAAAGTTTAGGAATCTGTCATCCAACAGCCAAGGTTTTGTCTGCAGGACTTCAGCAGTGCGAGGTGAGATACCTTCCAGTAGAAGTGGGTCTACGGCCACAATGCCGACCCACTAGTAGGAGTTGTTTGTTAGATGATTGTCTTTGTGATAATTATCTGGTATGCCATTATCTGTCATCTTTTATGTTAGGATGTTCTGTGATACATGTTAGTAGTAGTAGGGGTGAAATAGTCCCCGGATACTGGTTGAAAGGTACCGAAGGGGTCGTCAGAACCCTTTCATGCTTAGCAGTATGTTTATGTTATGTCATTATGTGGTAGGTAGGGGTGAAATAGTCCCCGGTTACCGGTTGAAAGATACCAAGGGGTCGTAAGAAACCATGCATGCCTAGCAGTATGTTTATGCTATGTTATTATGTGGTAGTGGTCGGGGGTGAAATAGTCCCCGGTTACCGGTTGAAAGATACTGAAGGTTGACGCCCTCAAGAGACCGTGGCGCACCCGTTGACCCGAAGGTTGACTTTTGACTTTTGAATTTTTTTGACCTGGGGTCAAACTTTAGGGTTTTAGGTTATAGGC